AGCCCAGTGAGCAGGGTGCCAGTCTTGCGTCCCGGCTCCACCAGACACTGTGTGACCTTGGACAAGTCACTTAATCTTTCTGTGCCTCAGTTCCCCATCCGTACAATGGGGAGAGTAGCACTGCCCTGCCTCCCAGAGGGGGTGGGAGGATAAATACATTAAAACTGTGAGGCCTGTTCAGACACGACAGTGATGGGGTTCCATAAAAATACAACCGATGGAACAGACCCCAGAGCCTCTCTTCCAAAACCACAGCCCTTACCACATGTGCTGTAGGAGAACCTCCTTTAGCTGCTTCCAGTAGAGGGCTATGACACACAGCTGAGCATGTCAAACACTTTTCCCCCCAACAGTTACCCTGGAGCAGGTCACGGGAATGTCTCCTTTCCCTTCCTCTCTGCCCCCAAGAAAATCAACCGTCCAAATGACCTAGACAGCCTTAGCTGTGTCACAATGACAGTAGGATACGATACCCCATTGCATATCTACAGATTTAACATCATAGTGTATTTTTAGCCAGGTGAGTCCTGCACTCGATGTTGAAGAGGGGCAGGTGGCGGGGGAGCGGGGAAGAGGGATAACAAACCCTACAGTTCACCAGCGAGGTGGCCGGTTTTTTTCCTTTCTGATTCATCTGAAGGAAAAGTTGTTTCACCTGCACTATTATGGACGCAGCCAGTCACTCGCTGGCCTTCCGGAAAAGCCCAGACCCTTGCAGCACTGATTCATGAGCTGACAGACCATTCCGGATGGGTCCAGGCTGCACAGACAGCTGTTCCCCCAGCCCCCTCCCTTCCCGGTTGTCCAATGTGTCATATTAGAGGGTGATCAGCTTACACATGCTCCAATATGGGTTCCTTAAGCTTTGTGAGGCTGTGGTTATATATAAAGCCCCTCACTGAGGCTGAAGCCCACAGCCAGTTGTATTAGCCACAAGCGCTTCACATTCTTAAGGTTCCAGCTGTCGGGAAGCAAGGGAGAGCTGCACAGATCCGGGTAAGTCTCTCTGCTGGGGGATAGGGGGAAAAAAGGAGACGAGCGAACAAGCCATTACTCCCAAGCATGACGCTGCCAATAGACCAAGCAGAAGAGCTGCGTCTCTACCAGCAGACGCTCCTCCAGGACGGGCTCAAAGACATGCTGGACCACAACAAGTTCCTGGATTGTGTCTTGAAAGTCAAGGGGAAGGAATTCCCCTGCCACCGGCTGGTGCTGGCAGCCTGCAGCCCCTATTTCCGGGCGATGTTCCTTTCAGACATGGAGGAGAGTAAGAAGAGGGAGATCGACCTGGAGGACGTGGACCCCGAAGTCATGCGCAAGATCCTCCATTACATCTACACCTCCGAGCTGGAGCTCACCGAGCAGAACGTGCAGGACATTTTCTCTGTGGCCAACATGTTCCAGATCCCCTCCATCTTCACCGTCTGTGTCTCCTTCCTGCAGAAGCGTCTCTGCCTCAGCAACTGCTTGGCTATCTTCAGGCTGGGCTTGATGCTGGACTGCGCCCGCCTGGCAGTGGCCGCCCGGGATTTCATCTGCGACCGCTTTGCTCTGGTCTCCCGGGATGAGGAGTTCTACCAGCTCTCCCCTGATGAGCTCATCGCTGTCATATCTACCGACTCCCTCAATATTGAGAAGGAGGAGACGGTCTTCGAGGTGGTGATGAAGTGGGCGGAAGCCAAGGACCGCGAGAGCCGGATCCAGGCCTTGCCGGTCGTCTTCGAGAGCATCCGTTTCCGCCTCATGCCCAAGGATTACATCAGGGACCATGTGGAGAAGCACCCTATTGTGAAGTCCAGCCCGGAGCTGCTCAAGAAACTCCAGGTGGTGAAGGACGCCAGCGAAGGCAAATTCATGGTGGTGAAAAAGAAGAAGGTGAAGAAAAGCAGTGAGACGACAGCTGGGAACAACGCTGTCAATGGAGAAGTGGCCGAGGGGGATGATAATGAGGAGGACGTCCTCCCGGGGATCTTAAATGACACAATGCGCTTTGGGATGTTCCTCCAGGACCTAATTTTCATGGTGAGCAGTGCCGGGGCGGTGGCCTATGACCCCAGCGCTAACGAGTGCTATTTTGCCTCCATCTCGGCTCAGATCCCAAAGAATCATGTCAGTCTGGTAACCAAAGAGAACCAGATCTTCATAGCAGGTGGACTGTACTACAACGAGGACAACAAAGAGGACCCCATGAGCTCCTACTTCTTACAGGTACCGGCTTCGTTACTCTTTTGCTTCTATGGTCCACTAGAAGGATCGTTTATTTTTAGGTTCTGTATAGCACAAAGCCAATGAAACTCACTGTCATGTGTGTTAGTTGTATTTGGCTTGTGTGTCCCTTATAAAAATGCATGCCACAAGCCTTTATTTGCTCTGTCAGACATAGAGACTGATTGAATACTGCTCGCTGTTCCGCATTAAGTCAATGGCTTGTTACATAGTAATATGTAGGCCATGAAAATATTTAGATACTAGCGTGATGGTACTATAGAAAACTCTGAGACAGACAGATTAGAGAGCAAGAGCGAGCAAGAGCGAGTATTGGGATAGATAGATAGATAGATGTATTGCAAAAAAGTTTGGAATTTCCAAATAGGGCTAATGCAGTGATGACTGGGTGAGGATCCTTGGCCTATGTTACGAGGAGGTTGGACTAGATGATCATAATGGTCTCTTCTGGCCTTGACATCTATCAGGGAGGTTTTTATTTCAAAGCTGGTTTGTCCCTCTCTAGCGGCAACATGTCTTGTGAGCTGGCACCAGGCTAAGCACTGTTTGATTTTGCAGCCTTCTGTTCTCTGCCACATTCATCTGTCTTCTGCCACTGAAAACCGTGCTAGCAGTCTCATTCACTGCTGTCATAGGGCATTGATTTCCCTAGATAACAGTGCCCTGATGCACGCTGAACCCCAGAAGTAACCAAAGACATCTATGATCAGCGAGAGAGGTGGGAACCAGCCATCTGAACCTAGGCCTGTGCTGTAACTCCAGGCCATCTTTCCCCTCAACAAAATATGCAGCTAACACAAGGAGCCTGCCTCTCCCCCACTTCCTATGCTCCGGGCTTACAGACACCCAGCAAATCCTGTATCCTCCCTCCAGCACTGACCAATCCCTGTAACTACAATCAGCAATACTCTACAGCTGATGCTCCAGAGGAAAGTGAACAAAGATCATAATGCAAGAAGTAGTTGTGTATAATGCTGCACAAAGCAGAGGGTGTGAAACAACAAGCCCCTCCCTCCCCCCAGTCGGGAACCCCATAGGTAGAACGGGCCTGATTCTCCACTTGCCTTCGCCGTAGACACCTGCACAGGGTGAGTGTGAAATGTTACTATTCTGACCCAATAGGGTTTTACACCCACTGGGCTCAGGTGTAAGTGTCACACACAGAGAAGGCGGCAATGAAGAATCAGACCCATCCTAGCTGAGTTCTTGGGGCTGCCTAGCTTGTCCACTGCATAGCAGGGCAAGGACTAAAGGTGAAACAGAAGTGGGGAAGCCAAGGAAGGGGGAAAATTCCACACCCGTAGCCGTTTACCTCTTTGCACCGCTCTTCACACTGACTGGAGGCACTGATAAGCAGAGAACATAGGCAGCGTTTGCGCTCAGCCTGGGAGAACTAATGAACAAACATTCAAGGGAGCACATTTCTGCTGAGCAATGCCGACTAGTTCAGTCACTGGTAAGGTAATGCCCAGAGATCCCCTCCAGAGTGCCCTTCCCTGCAATTAGCAGCTATGCCAATTAACAACCTGTTAGTCTGCTGCATAGGGAATAGAACAACTCCCTCTGTCACTGCTCCAGTACCAGCGAGTGTGAGGAGTGTGAGTCAGTCCTGCATAGCAAGGAAGGTCCTGTTTAATCTTCATGTCTCCCTTGCCGAAAACCAAACCTTCACAGCAGAGCTTAAGTCTCTTCGTGGTCCTGTTGGCTAAATCACAGGAGACAGGAGTTCTAGATTTCTAGATGCTGCTCCCAGCTCTGCCACTGCTTGTCTGTGATGCCTTGGGCAGATCACATAACTGCTCAGTTTCCTCGCCCATAAAATGGGGGCACGGCTAAATTCACGTTTGCGATGTGCTTTGAAAAAGTATTCATTATTACTATTGAACTGTTCCTTTAGCTGACTGTGCCCTTATGAATACAAAGCAGTTTCAAGTCTTTTTCAGTCAGACCTAGAGAGAAAGTTATACCTAAAAACATTGTAACCATATACCTATTACATATATGTATCCGGGTCCATCAATATAGGGTAGTGCGTCTGCTGATACAGGCTTCTAGGGGCCCAATTAGGGTGACCAGATGTCCCGATTTTATAGGGACAGTCCCGATATTTGGGACTTTAACTTATATAGGTGCCTAATACCCCCACCCCCTGTCCCGATTTTTCACACTTGGTGTCTGGTCACTCTAGGCCCAATTCTTCTCACTGAAGCCAATAGAGTTAGACCAGGGGGAGGTTTAGTCATACAAGTTGGACAGACAATGATAAAAAAGGAAAGTTCAGATGCTGATTACAAAAAAAAAGGGTCATAAATCCAGAAGTCTTGCCAATTTTAATATGAATGGTTATTCAGCTAAAAATTCATATCTGGAAGTGCATTGTTTTCTCTTTGCCATTTGTTATTCTCAAGTAAAATAAACTTCAGTCACCCAATCAGGAAGAAGACATAATAACATGTGACGGGTCACATGCCATAAATAACAGTTAAATAGGCTGAAAATGTATAAATAGGAAACAGACACAGAAATTAAGATCATGAGAGGTACTCAGATGCTTTGGTGATGTGGGCCATATTGAATCTGGGTAGATAGCTGGATCTGGATACGTCATAGTTAAAGCAGGTCAATATTTTTCCAATGGAACAGTTTTCCATCGGAAAATACTGATTTGACTAAATCAAAATGTTTCATGGTAACGTGTTGATTAAAAATTTCGACGGGAGATTATCAAAAAATTTCATTTTGAGAACTTTGAAATGTTTTGTTTTGATTTTATCATGTTGACTTACGTGCTATGTTAACAGTATTATATCATACCATACTGCAGGTCATAGTGAAATGATAGAGTCAAAATTAAACATCTCAAAATATTTAATTTTGCAAAAATTTCCAAGAATTTTTGACTTTTTATCCCATTTCAGGACAAATCCGAATGTCAAAATCACAGAATTTCCTGCAGAAACAGAAATTCCATGTATTCAGTCAGCTCTAGTCACAATTCACAATGAATATTAGGGGCAGGACCTAGGCGCTCAGGTACGACAGTGATGAGAACATATATAGACTGCAATAAGTATTATTCAACCACCTTTACTCTTGATGCAAAACCCATTAGCGCTCTTTGCAGTAACTAGCATCTCTCCGGGTGTGGTGTGAGGGTCAGCTGAGCGCAAGAGATCCCCTAGCCCCTGGTTCTTAACCCATGGCCCAATCAGGACACAGCTGTGGCCCATGTGACATCCTCAGGGCCATACAGGTAGTATATATATTGTGTGGATGCAGTCCACAATGGTAAATAGGTTGAGAACCACTGCCCTAGACAATACTGTCTTCTCACAGGTACCACATTCTGCTTTTGTACATTAATTCCCACTGCTCATCTCCAGCATGGCACCATCTCTTCCCCTCTCACACCTGATCATTAGAAAAAAACAACAAAGAAACAGGGAAAGCCAGTCAACTTATAAAGTGACATTTATTTTCAGTGGCCACCTAATGTATTGGCAGAAACTGGATGCCTTGAGGGAGGTGGGTTTTTAGCTACAGGTCTAACAAAAAGGTACTGGTAACCTTGGAAAGAATGTATACTGGGCTGTCAAGACAGGTCATTCCTGTAGATGGCCCTCAAAGCCTTTAGCATTGTATATACTATGAAAAATAATGCCTTTCCCAGAACACTCTCCCTCTTCCCTACTCTTTATGCCATTATTCCATCTTCTCCTGTCATTTGTTTCCCACAAACTTTAGGCTGTAAGGCCCTGGGACGGGGGTGGGGGGGGGCTGCTCTGTTCACTACTCGGCAGCTCCTCCTTGTGGCCCCATCTGGGGAATTAGCTCTGCCACCTGTGGCTACTCAGTCTGTTGTTCCCCTCAGCTACTCCATGGCCTCTCATGTACTCGGAGTGGCAGCAGTGTCCTCTTCATAGCTTAGCCCTCCAGCCAAGTCAGATTAAAATCCTTCCTGCTTCCAGAGTATCACAAGCCATTTGAGGCAAACTGTCCCAAGTGGTCTGCTCCCCACTGCCTGGTCTGCACCACTCCCGCAGTGGCTGGTAGGGGAACCCGGGCCCACCCTCTACACCGGGTTCCAATCCAGGGACCCTCAACCCAGCAGCTCTGGGCTTTGACTCTCCTTGCCCTTAGTGCTTTAGTCTGGAGATACAGCTCTATCTTTAGTCTCTCCATGCTTAGTCTGGAGAGACCCTGAAGCAACAGCCCATGACAAACAGGGCTTCAGGCAGCAACTAAAGCAGACGCTCCCTGCTGCGGAGTCCCACAATGCTGGCTGGAACAACCGCTGAGCAATGCAAGGTCACTCACCCGCCACTCTCTGTGCTCAGCAAGGCTCAGAATAAACAAGCTGTTCACCTGGTGCAGAGAGAACTGGACGAGCTATGCTCTAGCAC